CCCCAAAACACAACTCTTTACCTTTGTTGGGAGGTCCTGAACTCTTCTTTTCAAAGAGTTTTTGTTTTGTTACTTTTGTCACTAAAAAAAAAAAAAAAAAAAAAAATCCCATGTTAAGAACTAACGTGGAATGCAAATAATTTCTCATCTTAGACTAACTTAATGAAAAAAAAATAATTTTAAGTAATACACATAGATTTCAAGTACAAAATGCAATACCTTATTATATCTTCCTTAAATAATGAGCACCAAATTTTTAAAAAGCCTGATATTCATTTGCAAAGGCATATTCTTTCCCTTCATATTCAGCAAGAATCCCTGAAATAACATATCGTGGTAAAAGATATATGGCTTCTGATTTTCTAAATAATATTTTCAATACATGTCCAGTAGTGCCATAGATAAAAAAAGTCTATCAGATTTAAATATGGTAAAAACTATTAGGCTTATCTCTAAAATTGAGAATATTAGAATACATATATAAGTTTACAAATAAGGAATGGAGATGCCATTGAAAACTCATGAATTTTTCTTACTTAGCTCTTTCGTTTTCTGCATTTCTTTTTGTAAGAAGAAACATGACATACGGGAGATACCAATGAGCTTTCCAAGCTCTCTACTGCCCTCCAAAGCCTAAAAGAAAGACATCTCATGAGTTAAGTTCTCTACAAATACAACATTGCTGACAAGTCTAGTAAAAATACAGTTTACTGTTTCTTTCATCTGAAAAACTTGAATTCTGTGGTAGGAAGTTTAACTTTTCTTCTGGTAGGTCAACTACTGCAAGCATTAAAATGCCTGAATAAAAATAATTTATTAAAAACACTAAACATGATCCACAAATTTACTTTTAAATCTTACTAAAATATTATGGTTAATTAATGTTCATATAAGAAAAGAAATTCCTACATAAAAAGTAACTAGACATATTCCCTGTAAATTCTTTCCTGGATTGGATTCTCCAATTTAGGGCTTCTTTCCTATCTTCTTTTTTCAAATGGAGTAGGAGATATATGAAAAATTATACATCTCAAAGGAAAAAAAAAAAAAGCAAACCTGTATACTACTTAAATTTTGCATTATTTCCAGGATTTCTTCTGATGATTTTTCAACTTGAGACAGCAACACCATGAATCTATAAATGAAAAAATATACATATTTAGCAAGATCAGCATTTAAACACAGCACGTCATTTTCACAGCTTTAATTCTTTTTAAGAGATCTTAGGTTCATTTTTCTAATTCTTTTCTTTAAAAAGCAGTAGAAGATGTAAATGTTCCTCCATCATTCTTTCATCCCTTTACAAACACAGTGTATGTGACCAATCACCCTGTCTTTGGGATTTTCGCTGAGCAGTGGGAGAGGATGTGAAGATGTGGTTAGTTGGCTTGCTCCCTTCTCAAAGTGAACACTAATACACCATCGAAACCTATGAGTCAGTGTTACCCAGTAATTTTTGTAATAGGAAAAGAAGTTTTACGGTTTTCATATATTTCAGTGTGAAAAAGATTACAAAGGCACTCTATTAAATTTGGAAACAAAGAAAACTTCACTTGTAATCCTATCTACTGAACCTATCTGTAGTTAGCATGCTACCATACTGGAAAAATTCTCTTAGGTTTTTGTTTTTTTTTTTAATTTCTATAACTTTATATCATACTTTCTGCCCTTAATATAATATTACATATTTGTTTTTGGCCACATCACCCATATGTTTATAATTTAAAGGCTGCACAATATTGTACCTAGTAAACATACCAAAGATGATTTAACCATTCCCTTGTTCTTGCAGTTTTAGTGTCTTTTCCAATTTTTATATAGTCTCATAGCTGTATAAGATAATCTATATCAGTGCAGTCTAATAGAAATAAAATGTAAGCCACATATGTAATTTAAAGTTTTCTAGTAGCCACAATAAAAGAAGTAAAAAGAAATAAGTGAACTTAATTTTAATAATATATTTTATTTAACCAATATATCCAAAGTATTATCATTTCAACATGTAATCAATAAAAATTATTCATGAGATATTTTATGTTTTTCTTTTTTTTTTCAATATATGAAGTTTATGGTCAAATTGGTTTCCATACAACACCCAGTGCTCATCCCAAAAGGTGCCCTCCTCAATACCCATCACCCACCCTCCCCTCCCTCCCATCCCCCATCAACCCTCAGTTTGTTCTCAGTTTTTAAGAGTCTCTTATGCTTTGGCTCTCTCCCACTCTAACCTCTTTTTTTTTTCCTTCCCCTCCCCCATAGGTTCCTGTTAAGTTTCTCAGGATCCACATAAGAGTGAAAACATACGGTATCTGCCTTTCTCTGTATGGCTTATTTCACTTAGCATCACACTCTCCAGTTCCATCCACGTTGCTACAAATGGCCAGATTTCATTCTTTCTCATTGCCACGTAGTATTCCATTGTGCATATAAACCACAATTTCTTTATCCATTCATCAGTTGCTGGACATTTAGGCTCTTTCCATAATTTGGCTATTGTTGAGAGTGCTGCTATAAACATTGGGGTACAAATGCCCCTATGCATCAGCACTCCCGTATCCCTTGGGTAAATTCCTAGCACTGCTATTGCTGGGTCATAGGGTAGGTCTATTTTTAATTTTTTGAGGAACCTCCACACTGTTTTCCAGAGTGGCTGCACCAATTTGCATTCCCACCAACAGTGCAAGAGGGTTCCCGTTTCTCCACATCCTCTCCATTATGCTTTTTTTCAAAATCCGGTATGTACTTTATATTCATAGCACATCTCATTTCAGACTAGTCACATTTCAAATGCTCATTAGCCATGTGTGGCTGGCTAGTGACTACTGTTTCAGTCAGAGACCACAAATCTATACTATTGATTTTATGAGAGAAACTAGAAATTCTATTTAAATGCTTTTCAAAATCACATCAGTGTTATCTATTAACATTTCTGTGCTATCACAAATAAGACAAATATGTTAAATTTTCATACATGATGAATAGATACAGTATATTTCAACCAAGTAAAATAGATTAAGTATGCAAACAAGGAATGGAGAGACAGTTATTTATGCAAAAGCTAAAACTTACGTAAGGAAAATGAGAGAGCATGTGTACGTCAGTAGGGGATGGGCAGAGAGAGAGGGAGAGAGAATCCAGGCAGAGCCCGACTTGGGGCTCAAACCCATGAACTGTGTGAGATCATGACCTGAGCTGAGATTAAGAGTCAGATGCTCAACTAACTGAGCCACCAAGGTGCCCCTATTATTATGTACTTTCAATTAAAAGTCACTTGTCTGAGGCCTTGCTTGCTTACCACCTGAACTTCAGTTGGAGAGAGAGTGTCAAAAAGGAATTCCAGCCCCTTCCACTGAGCTCCGAGAGTCTGAAGGAGCAAGAGGTTTTAAATGACTCCCATTCAGGGCTGGGAACCTCCAGACTCCCCTACATTATACCAACGATCACCAACTACCTCAGGGGGCTATAGCTGAGGCAAATGCGTTACTTCGCTATGAGAAGCAATCCTAAGGGTTCTTTACCTTGCATTCTTTTCCTGGGAGGACTGAAGTGACGGAGCCTCTCTACACTGTCTTACCATACTTTAAGGAACTGATGATATTCCCTGTTGACCCTCATGGAATTGTGTGGGGGTGGGTCCTGCAGCGTTGCCGTCTTGAATGACTCCAAGAAGCTTTGTTCAGATAAAGATGTGAATGTTGTGCAGGAGTTGTGCAGTGTAGCATCCCAAAAAGACCTGTTAGCAATTCTCTCTCAAGTTAAGATATTATTGAGGGGCTCAGCTAAGCAAACTGTTATTGACAGCCTTGGAGAGCTGTAGGAACTGAGTATCAAATATCTGGGGAAACTGTTTTTTAAGATATCCTTCACATGCGTAAGCTGCTTTTGGAGGGAAACTTGTCTTCACTGCAAGACCAAGTAAACTGGTGGACACTATTATTTTATTTTTTATTCCCATTTATTTATTCCCATTATTTTATTTTTTTTAATTTAAATTAAATTTAATTTTTAGGTAATGTGGCTAAACTCATATGTGGCTCAAACTCATGACCCTGAGATCGAGAATCACACGCTTCACTGACTGAGCCAGTTAGGTGACTCCCCTCTTTATTTTAATCTCTTTTCCTCTCCCCCTCCTCCTTTTACTTCTTCTTAAATGAAATCAGCTCCTCCCATCTTGATGGCAACCAGTTTCTTAGAATGGGTACGCACACGCGCGCGCGTGCACACACACACACACACACACACACACACACACACATTCAAATCATCATCTTATACACTTTAAATACATACAATTTTATTTGTTAATTATACTTCAATAAGGCTGGGGATAATTACAAATAGAAAAAAGAAGGTTAATTACTCAGCCCGTTAACCTTCTGCCACACACATGTCCTTCTAATGTGCAATCCTGGATTTCCTACCTATTTGTTTTCTTTACTTTCTGGACTAAGCTATGAATGCTACGAAAATTTTACAGCGGTATTGATGGTCAATATTATAAGTACATATATGATTTGCTGGATCCCTGATGCTGCTTAACTCTCCTTTTACTTAATTTAACAAATGCTCTTTTTTTTCACAAATCAAAAAAATGCTCAAAATAATGGTCTGATACAGTCTCTACTCTTCAATACCGAAATTAAACTCTTATATTCAGATTTCTGCCTTACTACTCTACCGACACTCTCAAAGGCCACAAATGAACTTTTAATTAATTCCATTACTAAAAACTTATATCAAAGTCACTACCTGTAAGAGACCATTTTTGTATAAAATCTCAAGAAACCTGCAAGTTATGTGAACGTTAAAGGGACAAAATCCCAAGCACCTGGGTGGCTTAATTGGTTAAGCATCTGACTTTGGCTCAGGTTGTGATCTCATGGCTCGTGAGTTCGAGCCCTATGTCAGGCTCTGTGCTGACAGCTCAGAGCCTGGAGCCTGCTTTGGATTCTGTGTCTCCCTCTCTCTCTGCCCTTCCTCTGGTTGCGCTCTGTCTCTCTCTAAAAGGAAAGGAAAAAAAAAAGGGACAAAATCCTCAGGTTTTTCTTTACCCTCCTAATACTTTCTATGTCTTATACAGAAAAAGGTAAATAGGTCACGGAACCTCTATTTATCTAATTAATTCTATTTATCTAAACCGATTATTTTGGATGACAGCTGGACTGTAATAATGAAATATATTGCTAAATTTTTTTTGAGCTCTTTCTAAAGTCAAAACACTATACTTGTTACTTTATAAGCTACAAGCTATATTTTAACCTTTAAAATAACTCTCTGTGGTAAATATTATCTCCATTTTACAGATATGGAAACCAAAACACAAATTATTTAATTATTCAGGGTTAAACAATAAGAAACATAGTCAATGTGCATTCTTTGGAATTTTCTTTTTTTTTTAACATATATTTTTTAAATCTAAATTTTAGTTAACATGCAGTGTAGTACTGGTTTCAGGAGAATTCAGTGATTCATCACTTATATACAACACACAGTGCTCATCACAAGTGCCCTCTTTAGTACCCATCACCCAGTTAGCCCATCCCCCATCTACCTTTCCTCCAGCAACCCTCGGTTTGTTCTATGTATTTAGGAGTCTCTTATGGTTTGCCTCCCTGTTCTTGTCTTATTTTTCCTTCCCTTCCGCTATGTTCATCTGTTTTCTTTCTTAAATTTCACATGAGTGAAATTACACCGTATGTCTTTTTTGATTGACCTATTTCGCTTAGCATAATATATTCTAGCTCCATCCACATCATTGCAAATGGCAAGATTACAGTGTTTTTGATGGCCGAGTGATATTCCGTTACACACTCGCATGCGCGTGCACACACACACACATCTTCTTTATCTATTCTTCAGTCAATGGATATTTGGGCTCTCTCCATAGTTTGGCTATTGTTGATAATGCTGCTGTAAACACTGGGGTGCGTGTTTCTCTTCAAATCTGTATTTTTGTATCCTTTGGGTGGATACCTAATAGTGCAATTGCTGGATTGTAGGGTAGTTCTAGCTTTAGTTTCTTGAGGCACCTCCATATTGCTCTCAAGAGTGGCTGCACCAGTTTGCATTCCCACCAACAGCGCAAGAGGGTTCCCCTTTTCTCTCCATCCTCACCAACACTTACTCTTTCCT